CAAGTAAACACAGGTTTGACTCAAATATCCCAATGCATTTTATTAATACTTCTTATAGAAAATGCAAGTCTTCAGACTCTCAGATTCACAGTAACTGAAGACAGATCTGCAACCAGTATCCAACTACGCAAATAGGTTTTCCTGGGGTGTGTATATGTCTTTGTTCTTTCAGCTTGAGATTCAAAAAGACATAGAGAAGCAACATCTGGGAACATGTTCTTTCTTAGATCTTCCTGATAGGCCCTTGCTACCTGCATCCCTGACCTGCCCTCTGTGTCTGCCCCATGAGTCTTTGGGAACCCCTCTTTTTTCCTAAGAGCAGCCAGTGTCTGTCTCAGGCAGCTAAAGTCAGGGTATCCTGTGCACAGAACTTGGAGATAATGCCTCTAGTGACTACAACACATAAAGCATTCTCATGGGGGCAGAAAGCCAAGCACTTTTTCCACTGGTAATAACTTGGCTCACAGCTGTGAACCCTATTTAAAATGCTATCTTGGGGGGACTTCTAAGCAGATTTCACAGTATCTGAACCTGAGGTTACTAACATAACACTACGATTACCACACTGTTTTGTGCATAATGGACACATTTAAATCTGGTTGGAAAAATGTGAGCCCCAACACAGGTAGTCAGAAACACCATCTGAGTTGGATCTGAGGCATCCGCATTTTAATGAAAATACTCTAGAGTTTTGCATCTAAAGGTCAAACAGAAAACATCTGAGAGCTATTTGAAAGAATAGATTCAGGGGTGAGTAGTTGAGCATCACCATTATTTTCTGCAGCTGTATGTGGGATGGCTCCCTTGAGCTGTGCCCCTGTGAAGCAATGCCAAGGCGACTGTGTGTCTAAGATCATAGTCAGCTTTGGGTTTAGGGGCAGTAGCTGCAGGCCATGGAGTGGCCCTCATGCCAATGTTTTCAGTTACACAGAGAGAACATTCCGGGGATGATGGAAGTCACACTATGATCAGAAATGAGACGTGAGTAACCTGAGTTTAGTATGTGAAATCGGGCATTAACGGCCACTCGAGGCTTGTTTTATTGGGATGATGCTGACCCCTAATGAAGAAGATGAAGAAGATCTACATGATGTCTATCAGCACTAGGCATCTGGCATCTGGCAGAGGAAAAAGTACTCAGTAAAACCAACTTTACGGTTGTTATCAGCAGTGTAGCCAGGAGCTTGGAGACTCTTGGCCTGGGAACAGCAGCCTGCTATGAAGTGAAAATTTTTGTCCTCTGGAGCTAATTGTCGCTCAAGCTCTGTGTCTTTAGTGTTTGTCCATTCTATGCCCAATCGGTGTTTTTCATCAGACTCTCTTTGAGTTGAGCTTGCAAATCTGCATGTCAACTTCTCCCAGGTGATTTTTATTGACGCAGGGCTGTTAGAAGCTAGCCCTACAACCACCTGTTGCTGTGGGTGCTTGATGCTTCTCTAAAGGAATTGTGGGATATAAGGAAACTCAAAACAGCCTCATTCTCCTTACAGGCAGAAGGGAAGGACGCCATCTGAGACACTGCCAAGAAATTCTGAGTTGCATCCCTGTGTCTTCTTTTCCAGGTTGGGGTAAGTGCTGGCTTGTCTTTTGGGCTCTGATGCAAATATTGTGAAAAATCAGCCCTCCTACCTTTGGGCAGGCAGGTGAAGGAGATTGTGATGGTTGTCTAAGAATGGTGAAATATGCAGTAAGAAACTTTAGAAAGTGAGAAAAATTACACAGATCTTTAATTGTACACATCATTGAGATTTTGAGAGCTTCTCTATTAAGTATGAAGTTAACTGCTGTTAATGAGGCAAGAGAAGACTGCAGTCGGGGGCTCAAGGTCTGGCCTCACTGAATATTGTCTCCTGGCACATGTTGATGTTTTGGTTGTGCGAAGATATCCAGTATATGTGTCGGGAGTTTGGATGATCCAAGGGCTAGTAATTTTCTGTGTTTGCTGGATCAACCCTTTCTTTGACACAGGGGTCTTGAAAGCCCGTTAGGTAGGTATTGATAGCCCATTTGTGTGTCTGGGTCCTTCAAGCAAAATATGCCTGTGGCTCCTAGGTCCCGCTGGCCGGGGTTTGTGTATACTTTCAGAAATGAAACATGCTAAGGGCTTGGAAGTTCACAGAAGACTAATGGGACATCATAGATGCTGTGAGTTCAGATGGCTGCTTTCCGCTTGTGAGTAGACTAAGAACAAATAAGAAAAAGGCCGCATCTGCTCAGAGCACAGGTGTGCTGGTTTCTTCTTACTCAAGATGGTTCTTACCTAAGTTCTTTATAAATAGCGTGTCTCAGAACTTGTGAGACACCATTTCTTTTGACTGTGAAATAGTAAAAACAATTGGCAAGAAAGATCACATGAGATTTCTGAGTGGGGAAAAAAAATACACCCCACGTTCAGGTTCAGTTTAGAGGTTTGGGGAACCTTGCTTGTGTCGATTGTATTCTTGCTGAATCTGTAGGAAATTGTCATCGTTTCTGAACCAAGCAATTGGAGCAAATGGATTTCTCTTTGGAGTTGGCAAAAGGCCTGGCCACCACTGTAGCGTAATTAGACGTGGTTGGGGACAAGTTGTCGGGGATAAAGGCAGTAAAGGGGAACTACGACAAGAGGGCAAGTGCTTTAAGGATGGCTACTCAGAAGTAGCAGCTCAGACACTTGCAGAAAGAGTTGTTGGAGAGCTTCACAAGGTGAGCTGACAGGAGAAAAGGCTGTCTTAACACATGATGAAACGCGAACTGGAAATCTCACACAGTTGCGTGATTCCATGAAAATGCAACACTTGGAGAGAGAATGCTGTGTCTTTGTGTTCCAAGAAAGACCTCAGTATGGTCAGCCAAGCACTGATGGGAATGAATGTTGTTTGTGGATCACTCTCCTGTCCCTGTGCTTGGTGGCAGAAAGAAAACAAGTAGGCCTGAGTCCTTGATTATAGAGGAGCTAAGATGGGAGCTTCCTTTTTCGGCATTTGTTTGTGCAAACCATCAACTGTTAATGAATTAAAACAAAGAAAAGGAAATGTACACATGGTGGGACACTCAGTGGAAGGTGTTGGAAATACGAGAAAGGGCTATTTATTGGTAGTTCTGTGGCTGAGGGAAGTTTAGAAGGAGGTTTGCAACATTCAATACAGATGGAATCAGTAAAGCAGTTTTGGGGGTGGGGTTCCATGGGTCTCCTCATGCTGAAGGGCTGCGCCCAGGAAGATACTTTTCTTCTCTAATGTCTCTGTGGCCAAAAGATCACTGGCTTTGAGAATTGCGACACTGTCTGACTGCTTGCTCAGGGAGCAGGGATCACAGGGTTGGTTAATCAAGCACAGGGTGACTCTTTTGTGTACCTATTAAACTATTGGACCTTTAAGCTTTGTATCTAAGCTTTGTGTTTTATCACTAGATAAACCTACTTTTTGTTAACATGTCATCCATATACAAGTAAAACCATCAGGATACCTAACATGAGGAGTCAGATGTGCTAAATGGTAGTTGGGGTTTCTGGTCCCTGGTGAAGTTATTTTTTGAAAGTCTAGGCTTTCTCCCCAGTTTTTACCCTTCCAAGGACACATTCTCTCTAGCTTTGTCCCTCAGTCCCCTTGAGGGAGAGCAGAGGGACAAAATGTGAGTATCCGTTCCCATCACTTAGCATTGTTATCATGACAGAAGTAAGGAGACAGGGCCCATCCCGTCCCCATCTCTGAACGATTACCAAAGAGGTGCTAACCTGATTTTTCAGCTTGTCATCAGAATAGGAGCAGGAAGCCACTAGTCACAGCCTTCTGATGTCCTGTTTGTTGTGAACAAGGTGCTCGACCTCGCTGCCCCTTGTGAATAAGTGCCCCCCCCCCATTTTATTTTCTACTCTCTGTCCCCCTGCCTGAGATGGAACCTAAAAGGCAGCATTTCCACCATGTTCTTTCTCCCCTTGTAGCCCCCTCCTGTCACCCCGGCAGGAGACCTCTCTCACTCTTAAATAAATCTCTTTGCACACTGGAATTGTCGGCATGGAAAGTCTTTCCTGTGAGACGAGAAATGAGGGTGCCGTCACTTTTCGTGTTGAATTCTCAACAACAGTTAGACTGGATGTGCGTTTGGAGCAAGGAGGTTGGGGGGCAGGGAAGATATGTGAAAGTGATGATTCCTAGAAAGATGTAACTGAATTCCCGTTACGTGGCAACGTTGAAGGGCAAGAAAGAGCTCTTCTGCATTAATAACTCCTAAATCAAACACAAGAGCAGGGCAAGCTCCAGCTCCTCCGTGGTTCTGTTGTGGCTGTTGTCTTGCTGTGGAAGACAGGAATTAGTCCATTTACAGTGATAAACTGCAAAGCAAGGGGCGCTCTTATGTTCAACCGAACTCTCTCCAAAGCCTGCTAGATGGACCAAATTAACAACTTAGCTCACTGCTCTGTAGGAGGAGGGGATGGCAGAGGCTGTGATCTTTTCTCTCTGAGGTTCCAGAAATGAGCAGTTTGCCTCTTGGAAACGGTGCCAAGGAATAAAAATATTGCTTGCATTAAAAATTTCAGACTCTGGAATTTTTCACAGTATGGAAGATTAAATAGAGGTTGAAAAGTTAAAAGACTGGTGCCAGGTTTTCTGTGACTCTTGTTCTCTAAAACTTACCTCAGGTAACACTTTGTGTTACGCTTGAAACAGACACTTGGGGATTTTATTTAAATGCCTCAAAATAGCAAAGGCACATTTCCATCAGCTTCTAGAAGGGCCGAAACAGGCGACATCCCGGTGTTTCTCTGTGATCTGTGCACGGAGGGTTGCAGATAGTACCTGTGCATTCACTTCTAATAAGAGCTGTCCGCATTTCATCTGCTGGACCTAAGAGAGCGGGACTTCTAAGATGCTCTTTACTAAATGTTGTCAAACAGTACTTTTTCTTTCTCTTTTGGTGAGAACAGTGCTAATTTTTTCTCTTTTGGAATTATTGCCCTCTAAACAAGGCAGAAAGTTCTTGGTCAGCATTTGAGATCACTTTCCATGTAGTGAAATTCTGTCTATTCAAGGGATTTCCTGGCATTATTCGTCATCCTTGCGCAGGGGCAATGCTAATCTTCTCTGTATCATTCTAATTTTAGTATATGGGCTGCCAAAGCGAGCACCTGCCATAATTCAAAAAGAAAATGGAGGGTACCACACAGTAGGCTATTGGCTAAAGTCCTCACTTTGTATGCGCTGGAATCTCATATGTGCCAGTTCGTGTCCCAGCAGTCCTGCTTCCCATCCTGCTCCCTGCTCATGGCCTGGGAAAGCAGTCGAGGATGGCCCAAAGCTTTGGGACCCTGCACACCCGCATGGAAGACCTGAAGAGGCTCCCGGCTCCTGGCTTCGGATCAGCACAGTTCCAGCCATTGCAGCCACTTCGGGAGTGAATCAGTGGAGAGTAGAGCTTTTCTGTCTCTCCTCCTCTCTGTATATCTGATTTTGTAATAAAAATAAATAAATCTTTAAAAGAAAGTTTGTCACCTAGTATGGATTTCAGGTCTGTCATTTACTTACTGTGCGCCTTAGGAAAAACATGTCAGTTTCTACAAGCTGCAGGTGATATTCATGTTTTTGTTTTTGTCCTAGTTTTCCAACCAGGAATTATGTGTCTCCGAGGAATATATCTTCCAACTCTTTTTGATGGCCCTAAAATTCTTTGTCTCTCACTCCAATTCTGAGTCTTTTGAGAACTACAACCACTTACACTTTGATATATATATATATACATACATACATATATATAAATAAACTTCCTCCTGGTCCCATCTCTTTTCCTCCAGAAAATAATCTCTGAAGAAAGGAAGGTGTGTGTGGGGGAATGGATGTAATTTCTGTTATTTCTTTATAATTGTGCATGTTCATGAGAAAAACAGCATTAAAAGTTTCATTCTGATGGGTCAGTGCTGTGGTGATGCTTGTGATATGAATATCCTATATTGGAGTTGGGTCCAAATCCCAGTTGCTTCCAATCCCGCTGCCTGTTGACGTGCCTGGGAAGCAGCAGAATATGGCCCAAGGACTTGGGCCCCAGAAACCTGTATGGGAGGCCCAGATGGAGTTCAAGTTTGCTGGCATTAGCCTGGCCCTGCTCTGACTACTCTTGGCTGGTGCAGCCATTTGTGGGGCTCACCAGCAGATTGAAGATCTCTCTCTCTCTCACTCTGCTTTTCAAAAATATGATTTTAAGACTCTTGCTTTGATGTAAAAAGTTTGAAATCCATGTATAATTATGTTCACAGTACAGTTTCTGAAGTCCCTTCACACATAGACAGGTACGTATGCCTGTGCATACCTGTGTGATTTTCAGGGAGCTTGATTTGAGGATAGCCCCTGTGAGGTACTCTGTCAGCAGTATGTACTTAGGATATGTTTGTGAAGGAAAGGTCTTCTGATTTTTTTTTTTCAGAAATGCCAGGAATGTAGGTGTTATCATGTGAAGCTTAATCTCATATTCTCTAAATCTCATAACCAACTGGGAAGAACAGTGGGCTTGCCATTTCCTGTGAGGTCACTGTATAGGTTTTTATAAAAAAGATAGAGGAATAACATATTTGATGGAAGGAAAGTGAAGGGCAGCTGGGGCATTGGAGGTGAATGCCCTGTCTTGGTCTGTATCAATGCTAAGACAGTTCCAAGGGGAGGATCTGAGTGAGACCAGAGGTTTTCACCTCTTGTTAGCCCTTAGCTGAGGCCTGCATTGAGGGCTGTGACATTGCCTGGAGCAACTTGATAACAGAAAGGAATCTTCTACTTAGAAATTTGACTTTCTTTCTTTTTTTTTTTTTTTTTTTTTTTTGCCTTTAGGAACTTAAATTAGCAGTTTGTTTCCAAAAGTTAGTCCATTGTACTCAACTATTTCAGGACATACAATTTCTTGGCAGTAAAGTTCAGCATTTCACACAAGGTGGAACTGAATTAAATGACATGTGATAGTGTCCAAGCTGAGCATTTTAATCTGCTGAATTTCAAAATTAAAAAAAAAAATAACTGTTTGTCCTGTAGAAGTATCCTTAACCTTTCTTGGGTTAGTTACCTATCTATGCTAGTAAATTAGGTCTTTGTGAGTAATATATAACACTATTACATGACAATATGCAACAAAGGAATGCTGGTATAGTCCTGGCATGAAGGGTTGGAAGAGGATGTGTTATTAAAAAAAAAAATTTTTGAAAAAGTTTTCTATCTCCTTCTTCTGTCCTCCTGCTCTTGAGGAAACCTTTAAGGTGAACATTTTTATCCTTGGAATCGCCATCTCGGCCAGTATGTCTTCATGAATGTGTCATGTTTCCCGTTTGTGTTAGACAGGAAATAGTGTGGATATCCCCACCACTGGTAAAACATTCATTTTCCAAAGATACCCACATCGTAATTCTCAGAATTTGTGAATATGTTACATGCATGACAAGGGATTTTTGAAAACATGACCCATTGAAAGGCGTTAAGATGGAATTATTGTCACAGCTTGTCCTGCTGCTATGATTTGCATGTAATTTTCCCCCTCAAAACTTGAGGTGCTGTGTATAACGTGGGTCCCCAGTCTGGTGTGTTTAGGCAATGAGGCCTTGTGGGATGACAATCAGTCACTGGACCTGAGAAGAGTCGGACAGGCAGTTAGAGTTTCTGGCCCCTGATGAAGTTACTTTTGGAAAATGTAAGATCTTGGCTTCTCCTTACTGTTGTTATTTTTAAACCCTTCCAAGAGCATATTCTCCCTAACTTGGTCCCTCAGACTCCTTGAGAGCAAATTTGACCTTGAAGGGACAAACTTCAAATATCCAATCTTATCGCTTAGAGATGTTGTCCTGCAGCTCATCATCAGAATGGGGGGAGGAAGCCACCAGTCACAGCCTTCTGATGCCTTGGTTGTGAAAGGTGCTAGGCTTTGCTGCCTATTATAAATGAGTCCTCTTTTTGTTCCCCTACCTGAGATGGTGCATAAAAGAGAACACTCACCATTTTCTTGGGATTTTGCTCCCTTGGACCTCCCCGCCTCCTGCCACTATGGCAGGAGACCTCTCTCACTCTCTTAAAGTAATATTGCTTTGCACACTGAAATTGCACGAAAGTTTTTCTTCCATGTGAGACAAGAAACTGAGGTTGCTATCATCATTTGTATTGAATTTCCTGCAACAGAAGCATTGCCTTTGGAAAGGATTCATGTGGTTTTTCAGGGCACCCTGCCTAATTTTCCAAGAGTATTATGTCGACAAAGCATGGTTGACTTCTGCTTGGTCTCTCTGGCTCTGTCTCAGTATGGGATCCCTCCCTCTTATATGTGATTGTACTAGCTCATTCCTTGTCTTTCCCAAGAGCCTCCAGGGAGAAATATGGCCTGGCGAGACCCATTTCAGACTTCTGACTTTCACAACCACGATCAACTCACCTTGATCTTTAGGCTTTTTTTTTTTTTTCATTTATTTTTGTTCGGAGTTTGCCTTCCTATTTCTTCCTCCCACTGTTCCACCCTCCCCCTTATTATCACAGTAGATAATCCTGTAGTAACAGTTTGAAGTTTAATATTCTATTACCTAAGTGCATCATGGTGTTGTTGGTATAGGCAAAAGTGCGTTGTGGATTGCAAGAAGGATCATGCTGCACACACGTGTAGAATGTTAGGAGGAATCTTTCTTGGCCAAGCGTGGCGACAGCAGCTCTTACTACTCTCCAGGAGGCACTGTGCCCCACTGCCCAAGTCAAGGATTTTTAAGCTCTCATTCTCCAATCAGATTGAGAGCCTATCGGACACACACATTTTCCATGCATTCAATTAACTAAATGTCCAGAGGCAGGAAGGGAGCTGCCAGGAGACCAAAGTATCCCTGCAGTTTTATTCATCTAACGCAGGGAAGAACACGCTGTAGGTCTTCCTCTTTTGTGGCAGGAACTCAAGTACTTGGGCCAGTAATATTGTCTCTCAGGGTCTGTATTAGTTGGAAGCTAAATCAGGAGTTGGAGCTCAAACCCAATCTGGGACATTGGCATCCTGGCTGGCCTATTAACAGAAAGGCCAGTGCCCACATCTATACCATGATTTTTAATCTTCACATTGGAATCACTCATGTGCGCTGCTTTCCGAAGGGAACACAGAATAGTTTTCTCACTTGCTGGATAATTCTGATGTAGCCAGGACCATGAAGTTCTGCACTGAGGTGTGTAAATCTCCTCCTACTGAAAGCTCAAATGTAGCCTCATTATTGAACTGTGCATTTTTAAAAAAGAAAACGGATTATAAAAATATCTCCTGATCTGTGTTTTTTAAAAAAATATTTATTTTGTTGGAAAGGTAGAATTTACAGAGAGTAGGTATTAGCTTTTATTACCACAAACCCAAGAAGCCAGATGCAATAAATCACTCAGGAGGTCTTTATTTCAGCAAGGACAGTAGCTACATCCTGCGTAGACGAAGGGTAAAGGAGTGAGGACAATGGGGGAATGTATCCTTTTCATCTGAGGGGTGGACAGTGGGAACATGGGGCACTGGAGCTTGGTGAATTAACTGCTGGGGCCCTGAGGCAATAGTGGATTACAAAGGAATAGGAAGTCTGCTTTGTTGGACCTTTTTAGGGATCCAAAACTGGGTTACTAAACTCATAAAGACTTGGAACCAGCAGTAGTGATGAAGGGGGAGTGAACATCTGAGATGGCACCGCATCTGTCATGGTGGGGTCTCATCAATCTTTGGGACTGATGTCCATCCACTCCTCACAGAAGGAGATACAGAGAGAAAGATCTTCCACCTACTGGTTCACTCCCCCAAGTGGCCACAACGGCCCGAGCTGAGCAGATCCGAAGTCAGGAGCCAGGAGCTTCTTTTGGGTCTTCCACATGGGTACAGGGTTCCAAACCTTTGGGTCACCCACTATTGCTTTCCCAGGCCAGAAGCAGGGAGCTGGATTGGAAGTGGAGCAGCCATGACTCCAACTGGTGCCCATATGGGATCCAGGAATCTAAATATTTCAGTTTACTTGCTTTAGTTATACTGTAGGAATTTAGATCATTTTTAGTATTCTCATACTCTGAAAATGACTGAATAGACCCATGCATATAAGTGTTTTTTGTTGTTTTTGTTTTGTATTCATTTTTTTTTCAAATTCAAATATCTCCTTGAGGCATGTTT